ATATAGACCCTCTATGCATACTGATTTATCTGCAACTTTTGGAAGATAAAGCCTTTTTGTCTGCACCAATGCTTCTGTCACTACAGTAATGACAAATTACCTGGAATATTATTTTCCATAAGATGTTCATAGCTATATTGTCCTACAAATTTTAACACTGGCCCCTCCCTCAAGTGCCTTTGGTCAGTTGCATCCTTTTTATTTATTGCTTTCTGTGCAATATGATAATTTTACATGGCTTGGAGCAACAGTTGCAGGAAGATAGACCACACACTCTGAAGATTGTAAGACAACAAAAAACAGCAAAACTGACCAGGGTTTAAATTTGTATCTGTACTGACTGTATGGAGTTTCCTTCTGTATAAGAAATTCCTCGTGTCCAGGCTGCTGGGCACCTGGCTGAGCTGAGCCAAGCCCACAAGCACCAAAACACCCAACATGTGTCCAAGCCCCACAGGGCTCTTGTCTCACATTAGGCACCAGGATTAACACTCCTAGTGCACAAGATAGCAGGACACATATCCCAGGGCCAAGAAGGGACCCATACACACAGCTTTCAGTGCAGGGCTGGTGCACATTTCCTGCATCCAGGCTCCCAGCACAAGTTCCCAGCGGCTGCTGCCTGCCTTCCCAATATCCTCGAGATTATCCCCGGGGTATCAGTGACCTAAATACACTGTTTTGGACTTGAAAGTTGCTTTTGTTTTCAATGTTGCTGAGTCTCTAAAACCAGCGCACGTAACAAGCTGCCTGTTTCCAACCAGCTGTTGTGTAACTTTGCTCCCCACCCCCAGAGATATTGCCTCCCATTCATTTAATGGGCTTGGTTTCACTGGAAAGTGCCCGGGGGAACCTCTTAGCTTCCTAATTAGCAACAGCAGGGGCCAGTCCTTGCTGGAGGTAGCAGTGAAACATTTGTGAGAATAAGGGAGGCAGAGAAGGGGCCGTTTCCAGCGGGGAAAACACTAACTTTTATTCAAGGTACAGTGCCGAGCAGGGGACTAAAGAGAAGGTGGGGGGGAAGGTACTTGCAGAAATTATGATGGGCCTTCTAGACAAAAAAGGAGCATTTGTGGGGGGGGGAGGAGGGAATAAGAGACAGCCCTCCCAAGTTACTCGGCAAGATGAATTTTTTGTAACACACCATGGAGCAACACAGAGCCTCGTGGACTGGCTGCTGGTGGAGGCAGGAGCAAAGTGTTGCTGCCATCTGCTCCAAGATGCTTTAGCTGGCTCATGTTAATAAGATTCAGGAATTAACAGCTTGGAAGCTCTTAGAAGCTCAGGGTTTTCTCCAGGGACATGATCACTGAGGCTGAGCACAGAGCCTGCCATTCAGGGCTGGAGGAGACTTCAATGCGAAACAAATCTCTTGCCAACCAGCTGAATGTCCTGACACATCACTGGGAAGGTGAAAACTGCTCATCCATTGCAGGTAGGGTGATGTGCTTGAGGCAATTCCATAATCCCCAGGACACAGCCACACATGGCAAAGTCTCCAATTTTTCTTATGCGACCCCGTTTCTAAGCAGGGTGGGGTTTTATTCATACATTAACAATTGATAACTGTTGTGTGTGCATGGACAATCCCAGCTTGAATCTGTTAAACCAGGGAGACCATTCACCTTCAGAAGTCATGTAGGGA